GACTAAGAAACCAAAAATTTGTTGTTTTCAATTATTTCACGGGTAGGATACATTTCTATACAAAATAATTACAAAAATCATATATATAAATGATCCGTAAAATAATTTTTCCAATAACTTTAGATGAGTTTTTAAACTAAAATTATATTGATTTTACTCGCATATCATATTATCCCGCATATAACGCGGGTAACTATCTAGTATATATTTAATTCTCAAAAGTAATTCAGTCTTATTAGCTTTTTTTTTATTATTTCGGTTCAAAATGGAAATTAGTTTTGGAATATAAGAAAAATGAATCTATCTAAAGAAGTCAAGTTTCACATTGACCGCCAAAGCACTCATTCCACAAGCTTCATCAGCAGTCTAAAAACAATGCTATTGTGCAAGCAAAACAAAAGATGGATACTAAAAAGTAAAAACTTGATCAATTAAACTAGAGTAGGTAAAATTTGGAAGTTATAGATAGTACAAGGACCTTTGTACAGAATTTTACTAAAGGTTTGTGTCACTTTTCTTGCCTCGTTTTGAAGCAACGGACCAAAGAAAAGGGTTGAAAATCATGTAATCGTCTGAGAAATCAGTTGATGCGATTTCTTCCAACTATGGCTTCAGCGATGGCGACATGTACGCCGAGTTCTCTCCAGCTCAGGCTTGCCCTTAATTATGGGAGTTTCAGAGCTCCGGCGAGAGCGAAGATGGTGAAGCTCAGTCGTCATGCTCGAATGTCATGCGTTGCGCAGAATGCAGAATCGGATCGTGATGTGGGTGAGTTGAATGGGTCGGATCATTTTAGTGGGTGGTCGGAGTTTGGAGAAGATGAGAAAACTGCTGATTCTTCTGGGTTTAAAGGTACCGACTTATCTGATTTTGACCTTCTTCTGGGTGGGTTTCTCAGAATTTGATTAGAAAGTGATGGTAACATGGTCGATTAGTATTCGACGTTGGTTTAGTTTTCTGCATTTCCTTGCACTGCGTAATCATTCTTCAGGATTGTCACTAATGTCTTTTGCTGAAGCTAATTCTTGGTTTGGATTGATGAGTTTCTTCAAATGAATTTTGGTTTCAGGAACCTTGCTATCTGGAGTAGCTGGAACGGTTCTTTTGGCTGGTCTAATTTTCGCGGCTCTGTCACTCAAACGGAACTTATTAAGTATGATCTTTTAACCTTCATTAACCATGAAAATTGATATACAAAGGAATTGATCCAACAAATGTAAGCATAAAAAACTTGGTCTACATTAGGACCAAAAGTAGAAGCGATGGTGACCATGGTTGCTGAAAGTTCAAGTGATCAAATCGGTGCGGCTGGGGATGAAGGGAATGATTTGATGGATCAAGATAACCAGGAAAGCTATAGAGGTATGGACCCGAACCTTTTAACGTCTTTTCATCATAGTTTGATAAATCATACAACCCATAGTGGCGATATGAACATAGGTTATTGGTTAATTTATTTGGGTCAAGATTTTAGAGCACTTTTTGTGTTCTCTAAGTTTAATCACTATCTTACATCTCTATGTGCTTAACCAGCGTTCCCTTTTCTGGATGTTAGTTTAGATTCTCCAGTTTTATCTCGGGATGACATTGATGTGGTGTCCAAAGCCACGTCCACAAGCAAAGAAGATCATGAGGCAAACAAAGCATTAGAAAGCCCAGCTGAGAGATTCGCAAAATCGACAGAGTTGGATAGAGTAGATACACATACCTCTCAAATCCCAAACGAAAAGCAGAAAACCCGCTGTTATACTGGAATACCTGCTCCGTTCACAGTTCCACAAGTGAATCCCTTGAAACCTATCTTTCCAACAGTTGTGGACCCAGTTCAAAGTCGAATGTTTGCGGCTTTACAAGCTTTAAAGGTACTGCTCTAACTAATCAGATTGTTTGAATGCAACTATTTTATGATGTGTTAAGAACTGATTGCATATTTACAAAACCTATTTAATTTTCAGGTTATTGAATCTGATGCTCTGCCTTATGATTTATGTACACGTCGTGAATTCGCTCGTTGGGTGGTTTCTGCAAGTAATACTCTATTGAGGTAACTATAAAAAATTTCTCTCCTACTCTTGAAATATTGTGAAATAATTCACCACCTCACATCGTGAAAATACATTCATTGCTTACAGGAACTCAGCATCAAAAGTATACCCTGCCATGTACATAGAGAATGTTACCGAACTTGCATTTGATGACATCACACCTGAAGATCCTGATTTTCCATCCATTCAAGGTGGTCACTGGAGTGTTTTTCATATTCATGCTGAAGCAAGGAAGTTATTATGTTAACCTGTTTTCTTCATTGAATAGTATAGGTTTGGCAGAGGCAGGACTGATTTCAAGCAAACTCTCTAACCACGACATGCCTTCTGCTGAGAGCAGTCGTTTTACGTTCTCACCAGAAAGGTAGATCTGCTATTGATTTTCATTCAAATATATAATAAAGTAAACAGTAGCTTTTGCTATGTGATATTCATTCTTCTTAAATCTCATTTTCTCTACAGTCCTCTTTCACGACAGGATCTTTTGAGCTGGAAGATGGCTTTGGAATTCCGACAGCTCCCAGAAGCTGATAGCAAGGTTCTTTGTCTATTTTTTTCTTTCGCCTTTGCCACATTAAGTCTTTAGAGCATCGTAAACCTTACAGAACTCACTTGTCCTTTTTCAGAAGTTGTACCAGCTTTCTGGTTTTCTTGACATTGATAAAATAAACCCAGAAGCATGGCCTGCTCTCATAGCTGACTTATCTTCTGGAGGACACGGAATCACAGCACTAGCCTTTGGTGAGTGAGATTCTTGCTTCTTAAGTAATCATACCATTAGAGTTTCACAGCCAAGTTCAGTTTTTGAAAGACCCATGTTCCTCTAGGGCGTACCAGATTGTTTCAGCCTTCTAAAGCAGTTACAAAAGCCCAAACAGCTGTGTCTCTTGTAATTGGTGAAGCTTTTGAGGTAGTTGGTGAGGAGCTAGCTCGTATCGAAGCAGAGGCTATGGCTGAAAATGTGGTTTCCGCGGATAACGCGCTGGTTACTCAGGTCGAGAAGGATATTAATGCTAGCTTTGAGAAAGAGATTTTAAGAGAAAAAGAAATTGTAGATACAGTGGAGAAACTAGCTGAAGAATTGAAGTCAGAGATGGCAAGACTTAGAGTTGAGAAAGAAGAGGAGGCTCTTGCATTGGAGAAAGAACGCATATCAATTGAAACAGAAATGGAGACTCTTGCAAGGTTACGAAATGAGCTCGAGGAACAACTTCAAAGTCTTGTAAATAAGAAGGCAGAGATGTCGTACGAGAAGGAGAGGTTTGATAGACTTCAAAAGCAAATGGAGGATGAGAACCAAGAGATACTCCGGTTGCAAAATGAGCTTGAAGTTGAAAGGAATGCTTTATCTATAGCCAGGTATTAGATGATATCATCTTTAAATTTCTTCTTTATTTGCCCAGCAAAATCAATTGAGCATGAATTGAGCTTCCCTCGAGAAATGAAATTTACACAGTGAGATAGAAGCAAAAGAGGATTGGACTGTACTTTTTGCTATAGACAGAGACAGAATAAAATTCTTAATAGTTTGATAACATAACCTATTTACATTGATTATTTATGTTGAGAATGTGACAAATGAAACTTAGAGAGGTCTGCTCTTCAGGTCAGTTATGGGTTTGAGTTTTGTTTTGCAGAGATTGGGCTGAGGACGAAGGGAGAAGAGCAAGAGAACAAGCAAAAGTGCTACAAGAAGCTAGGGGACGTTGGGAGAAGTATGGCCTAAAAGTGATTGTTGACAGTGACCTCCATGAACAGACAACAACGGAGTCTACTTGGCTGGACGCCGGAAAGCAATATTCCGTAGAAGGAACCATGAAAAGAGCTGGAAATCTGATTGCTAAGCTCAAGAAGATGGCGAAAGATGTAGGAGAGAGATCCAGAGAAGTAATCTACTTGATCATAGAGAAGATAGACCTTTTGATCTCAACCTTGAAAGAACAAGTTCGTGGAATGGAGAACAAAGCCAAAGACCTGAAAATGAAAACCAAGTCAAAAGCAGAAGAAGCGAAGAAACAAATGAGCTTTAGGATTAATGAGATCAGAAATATCTCTATGATGAAGGTAAAGGGGACTGTGGAAGAAGCTCGGCGAGCTGCTGAAGAGATTCAGGACAGAGTCGGGAAACTTGGTGAGAAATTCAGGTCGAAGTAGGTTTGTTGTTTGGTTTTAGATTCAGGTTTTTGGACAAAGCACTGAAAATGGAAAGTCATTTGTACTTGGTGAGTGTCAAAAAGAAAGGATGCTTGGAAGGCAAATTATCCGAACAAAGATTGTCCGAGATACATATATAATATACCAAATTTGAGGCATCCACATACACATTGGTCAAGCATAAGGCATGGTTTAAGTAATCAATCATATTTTTTTCTGCCTCCTCAAACATACCAACTTTATTCAGAACACTTAAAAAGAGTTTCTCCACTGTATCTACAATTTCCACCAATGGCGATAAACGTGGAGGGGTACACCAATCTAAAAGTGCAGAGTAAAGAGGAAATGTAGCCTTAAGATCATTTCTTCTGTCCCCAATATATCACTCGTAAAGCTCTCTAGAAATTGATGAAAGTAGCTACAATTTCCAAAACATGTAAACGTAGTATGTTAATTATTGAACACAAAATGCCGTATTTCCAGCAAATTTGAAATGGCTATTATGAAAATTCTAGCAATATGACATCTTCTGATTAGCCTAAAACACCCATCAGGATCGCTACAAAATCATACTATACAACATGAAAGGCACAACCGCACAAGAAGTCTAGCCCCAACGATCGGTAATTCGGTACGTATAACGAGAACCCAAAATTGGAATTGGTCGAATCTTCTTCAGTCTCTGGTAAGTGGGATCGTCTTACCACCGCCATTGAAGATCAAGGAAAGTTCTTGAAAGGTGGCCGAGAAACATTTGAATCTTTAAATCTGTTTAGATGTGCCGTGTGTATGCAAGAGATGTTGAAGATGACTACTTTGGACCATGATAGCGAGTTGTATTGGACTGCGATTGATTACCTTGCATCAGATGAAAGTGGTCGTCAAAAATCTTCATGTCACTACCTAACGAGGCGGAGAAGATTAAACTTCTCGAACGAAAAACGGGAAAAATCAATTGGGCCGGCATTTAGAATCGTTTTTAAAAAAAAATATATATTTCTAATAATCACGTTTTTCTTTTTATCTTAATAAGGAAAATGATTTGGCCGGCGTATTGGTCGAAATGGTTGTGATTAGGGTTTTTCGGTAGTGTTAGTGGTGGAGACAATTGAGTTTTGATTTATGATGGTGGTAATGGCGGCTGAGATTCACCAGATTTTGTTAATGAAGGTGGTGAGGGACTGAATCAACATCAGTTTTGGACATTCGCTGCTATAGATTTGTTCTGTCTTTGAGTTACAAAATCATTGAAACAATCCAACACTATACAAATTTCATCATTTCTGATTCGTTCTTATGTTTGTTCTGCAATTTGAGATTTAATTTTGATTCCATCATTTGGTTTCCGTCTACATTTGCTCTTCCTACATTTAGGTTACGAGTTTCAATTTGTGGAAAACTCGATTTGGAGAAATGAAATAGGGTTCTTGTAGTTTTGATTTGGAGAAAAACATGGGAAGAAGTGTAAGCAGAAAAGTATAAGATTTATGAAGAAGAAAATCTCTTTTATTGATTCATTTTTCCTTGTCGTTTTACAATCACACTTATCCCCTTTTTATTCACAAGACTCAATCTAGGGTTACACTAGTAGGAGCCTCTGGATCCTCTGACAAGTGTCGGACATCAGATCCCTCATCTTCTGATCTTGACAGAGAGACATATCTGTTGAAGACCCTTATTTGACTGGCCGTACAGCCAGCTGGTTTTGATCCACCTCCTCTGCTTCGTTCTCTGTCTTTATCTTTTGAGGAAGAAGACCGTTGAGTTTTGACGTTTTGTGAAGGCTTGAATTCGTCTTTGGGCCTCACAAATATTGCTTCCTTCTTCGGCCCATCAGACACAAACGTGTTTTTGGATTTTATCATATCAGAACCCTCTGTTTCCTTTGGAGGTTTCAAATGCTCTGCATTTTCTGAAACTTGAAGTCGTACATT